TCCAAATGAGTGAGCGCAGGCACTGGGATGCCCGTCCCTCGTTTGCACAACCCTGCCTTGGCTACAGCATCCAGCATGACTATGTTGCCCTGGTTTAAAGCAAGATGAAGGAAGCTTGTGTCTACAAAGAGCTGGCAGCCCCCACCTCCCAAGCCAGGCTGGGCCCGGCAGGGTGACATTTAAAAGCATCCATGACCACACTTGACAGCACCCTCTAGGGTGGGGCACCAAGGTGGGCAAGCAAGGGCTGGTGAGCCTCGTCAAAGCCTTCTGACCTCACCAGAGATTTATGGAGCTGGGCATGGGTGGGGCTGGGAACAAAGGTCTGGGATTCCTAAACCACATCTTGGGGAGATGGGATGGCCAGGAGTTCCCGGTTGCAATGTGACCCAGCAAGGGAGGGAGCAGAGGCCCTGAGAGCTTCCCTTGGTTCCTAGGAGACCTCTGGCACCTCAGAGGCCTTTCTGAGGTGACTTCAGATTAGTGACCCAGCTCTACCCCAAGAGGTGTATAGGAAACTCAGCTTTCTCTCACAAGGAAATGTGGGGGGCTGGCTCAGCAGGTAGAGGCACTTGCTCTCAAGGATGATAATCGAGTGTGATCCCCAGGATGGAGAGAACCTGCCCCCACTGCCTGTTCCCTGGTCCCTAACACACACTCGCGAGCACACACAAATAAATGCAATAGAACAACAGAAAGGAAGCCGAAGTCAGACCTGGTGGGACAGGAGGCCTCTGATCCACACTTCTGGGAGCCTGAGGGAGGAGGTAACAAGTTCAAGGCCAGTGTGTACTACACAGTGAGTTTAAAGCTAGCCTGAGCGATTTAGTGGGACCCTGATTCAAAAAATAAAATAGAAGCTGGTGAGATGACTCAGCGGATAAAATCTCCTGCGTCAGGGGCTGGAGAGATGGCTCCGCAGTTAAGAGCACTCGCTGCTCTAGAAGAGGACCAAAGTTTAGTCTCCACACAAATGGCAACTCTCGACCCTCTGAAATCCGGTTCTGAGGGACCTGGAGGCTTCTTCTGGCCTCCTCAGCATCAGGGACATGTACGGCACACTTACACATACACACACATATATACATGCAGGCAAAACATTCATACACATAAAAAAAAATAAGTCCTTGTTTTTAGAGGAAGTGGAGTTTGAGACAGGGTTTCTCTAATCGTTTTGTAGATCAGGCTGGCCTCAGGGATCCAGCTGCTGCCTCTGACTCCCAAATGCTGGGACTAAAGGCATAAAAAATAAATGTCTTAAAAAAAACAAACAAACAGAAAAACAACCATGCTACATTGTCTGATAACCTGCGTTCTATTTCCCAGGACCCATAAAAAGGGTGAGAGAACCCACTCCACAAAGTTATCATTTGGCCTCTACATACATACCATGGCATACACACTTCCCCTATCCCCATCACATGTGATGGGGATAATAAAATCAAATAATAATAAACTAAATAACTTCATAAAAAGGTAAAATGACCAATGATGATATAGCTCAGTATAATGCCTGCCTAGAATCCCCCAGTGAGGGGCTGGGGTGTGGCTCAGTGGTGGAGTACCTGCCTAAAATATCGGGAACTAAGGGGGTCCAGCCCCTCGATAGTCCCCTCCCAGGGTCTGGGGAGAATCTACAACCAGCTGATAATTAATCTTTGATGAAAAGAAATGAATCTATGTACACGAAACTCCTTAGTTCATACACTTTATTATTCTGTGATAGTTCTCTCTCTGCACAGCTTCTATTCTGCTCTCATGCCTAGCTCCTTTCTTGTCTAATTTCTCTATTTATCTACTGTCCCCTCTAGGTTCTATCTTAATTCCTTCGTCTAGTTCTGTCCCTTCTAGGTTCTCATCCATCTTGTTCCTTCCCATATCATCTCCTCTCCCGTCTCCTTCTCTCTCATCTGGCTCTTCCTCATCTTATTCTTCCCCATCTGGCTCTTCCTCATCTTCCATCTCATTTCTCTAGTCCTCTTTTTTAGCCCTTCAATCTACTTCTTCCCCATCTCAGTTCATTCCTCTCAAGTTCTTACCCATCTAGTTCTTCCATTCTCTTTTCTCTGTGCTGTTTTTTTCCCTGTCTACAGAAAATGCCTGCCTTTTCTTTCCCTGGGCACGTGGTTCCCTGCCTCCTCAGGAATGTTGTTTTATCTCTCACCTTGATATGTAAAAACCTCTTTTGTTCCCAATCAGTTGCTCTGGAGAACCACTAGGCCTCCTCAAGGCCAGGGGAACCTGAGCTTCATTAGCACAGGAAACAAAGCTAGGTGTCTCCACCAGCTTGTCAGCAGGGCGCTTAGTAACTTAGGTTCAGCAGGTCAGGGGAGCTGAACTGTTACCAATTGGTCTGGACACGCAAAGGTTTCAGAGCAGAAGACAGTTGAAATATTAAACACTGGGTAACACCAAATATTTGTAATAAATGGCTTGCCTTTTGACAGGCCCTTGGCTGGTCAAATTCAGCTTTAATACACAGATGAATCTATGATATATTCTTGCAGCCCTCAAGACTAAAATCCTCCAGTGAGGGGCTGGGGTGTGGCTCAGTGGTAGAGTACCTGCCTAGAATCCCCCAGTGAGGGGCTGGGGTGTGGCTCAGTGGTAGAGCAACTGCCTAGAATCCCCCAGTGAGGGGCTGGGGTGTGGCTCAGGGGTAGAGCACCTGCCTAGAATCCCCCAGTGAGGGGCTGGGGTGTGGCTCAGTGGTAGAGCCCCTTGCCTAGAATCCCCAGTGAGGGCCTGGGGTGTGGCTCAGTGGTAGAGCACCTGCCTAGAGTCCCCCAGTGAGGGGCTGGGGTGTGGCTCAGTGGTAGAGCCCCTGCCTAGAATCCCCCAGTGAGGGGCTGGGGTGTGGCTCAGTGGTAGAGCACCTGCCTAGAATCCCCAGTGAGGGGCTGGGGTGTGGCTCAGTGGTAGAGTACCTGCCTAGAATCCCCAGTGAGGGGCTGGGATGTGGCTCAGTGGTAGAGCACCTGCCTAGAATC